GCTGCACCGATTCTATTTTCTTCCGTTCACTAGTGCGTAGAAGACTGAATAGAGGCGAGCAGTGTCACAGAAACACATATTTTATCAAAGGCACCGCATTAAAAGAGGTAGATACGCACAAAGATTTAGGCATGTGGACAACCGCGAACTTGATGCCAACAGAGCCCTGTTAAAAGGCTGTCCAGAAGGCAACTAGAACCCTGCACTGGATTAGATGAGCGTTCAAAATCTTCCAACATCAACTCTTCGGAAACGTATTTGGCGGCTTTGTGAGACCACATTTTGAATACGGAACGCCGATTTGGACACCGTGGTTTAAAAAAGCCGTAGACGTCCTCAAACAAGTGCAACGGAGAGCAATAAAGATTGCCAATAGACTCAGGGACTAACATATCAGGGAAGAGTGATAAAGCTTGACTATTTCCCCTTGTCTTACAGGCAGGTACAGTGCAGCCTGCTGTGGACATTCCGGATAATCAGGGGCCACGGTTACTTCCTGAAATTGAAGGATTTCTTTGAGTTAGCCGACACAAATCACCTGCGTGGGTATTCTTACAAGGTCACAAGCGAACGCAGTCCATTGGACCTCAGAAAGTTTTTTATTCAACCAAAGAGTGGTTTGACCTTGGAACTTGCTACCAAGCGAGACGGTTTCCGCTGACACGATTGCTGGGTTTAAAAGAAGACTTAATGTCACTTTATTTGACAAAAGATGAATATCACAACACGATTTCTTATTGCCAGCACTGTAAACCATTGTCCTGGCTCTAGACTGCTTTCATACTCTTTCGTACTGTTACGCGACAACTCATTTGAATGTATGCCATGCTACCGCATCTTGCTACAACTTCCTATTGACTGTAACAATGATATTGTTTTGTCATACATTTAAAGTGTTATCAAGGGTATTCCTCTCCTGTAACCCTTCAAATATCTTTATTCAAGAACTCTCATAAAATTTCGAATTTAACTGCCGTCAGACGCATCCATAAGATTATGTTCTAGGACGGAAGGAAAAAACTGTGGTTCATATATAGTTTAATTTTCGGAAGGAAGAACTTATGTGATATAAAACCACATACCTTACCAACCTTTGCAGAAATTTGATCTGCATGAGGCAATAGAATTAGCTTATTTGAATCCTGCATGGTTAATGGTTCCAAAATAAATGATTCTGAAAGGCTGGACGTCCAGGAAGCTAGGCGGGACGAAAAAACATTCAACTACATATGCCACGTAACGCTACTTGTGAGAGCGTATACATGTCTGCATTGATGCTGTCAAAGCAAATATTGGCCATTTCGTTAGAAAATGAGTAAATGCACTTAATTTTGCCTAAGTAAATGAAATGCCTGAATTTTTGGAGTACTTTTGAAATTTCATTCATGTAAAGAACAGACAAATGAACATAAATGCACACAGAATACCAATGTGTGCATTGTCATAACTCAACGAGAGTGCCAAATTTAATTTGATAGTGCTTAATACAACTGTTTATTTGTTTGCTACTAGCGTGAAATATTGGGATAATTTTTAGCATGATTATTGCTACCTTTAACTGAAATAATACTAGAGTTCCTCGCTAGGTATTCGCTACGCTCTAGGTTTCCCAGTGAAATCAGTAATCATAAAGCAAATCTACTAAATTTATTTATTTCTTAATCCGGTTCCATTTATTTATTGAGTCCTAATTTGTGACGAAAAACAGGTAGTAGCCTTTGATAGCATTCTACGACCTAAAATCAGTTCAGTATACCGGGAAACAGGTTGAAATAGTTTTAACGGAGCCCGAAATGCGGTTACCAGGAGTGAGCAACTTCTCCCATCAGTTTCACTTATATTGCTTTATGAAACTGCTTCATTTTCTAAAAGGGTTTTCTGTGCATAAGGATTTACAACTTCATGTGGGTGGGAGTTCGATGCTTTGACTTTTAGAAATAGAATTGCAGCACATCCAAACATGCGCAGCTGTATAAAGCATCACAAAGGTATGCTACTTTTGTTTGGCATCAAGAGCACTGTCGAATAAAACAATGAAAGCCTCTACTGAGCAAAAAAATTACGAAAAACCTTGTCACTATCGTGTACAAATTAATTTGTAATTCCTGTTCATTCAACACGGTAAGTACTGTATAAAATAGATAAGCTGAAGGCAGATCAGTTGCCTCTAAAATATATTTCGTTAACGAAGGATACTTTTTTTAGTCTATGAGCAAGGTCCTGCATTACTTGTACTTCATTATGGACCACACGTAATTTGTTTTAATTTACTACATCGAGAAAATTCCATGAACTTTAGCTTTGTTTACCAATTTAAAACTGCTCCACTAAAACCATTTGCGCGGCAATGATTAACTCGTGAATTTTTTGAAAGACTGTTTTGGGTCCGAGAAGCATGCTTCATGACCACCCTCAAGAAAGTCCTCTGAATTCGCCCTTTTTTTCCAAGTCCCCACACTACCCACTTGAAATAAATTCGGTCTATCGTCCTAAATTTTCAAAAATCATCTGTGATAAATTTTTCAACAAACCATTCTACCAGCGTGAAAATAAAGTCCCTCAAGATAAGGAGGAAGAGGAAGCCAAAACTAAGGTCGATCAAGTTATGAAACAGTCTAGTGGGAAGGAAAATGCCATGGCTACTGACAACTCCGCTGATTCTGAGGTATCTGCAAGGGAACTGAATATTCCAGAGGATTCTGATGGACATGCTGAGCCCTTATGTAATGACGAACCGAAATTGGAGGTCGTTAACAAGGATGTCAGTGAAAAAAATCAGAGTCCTTCAAATGTTCCGATAAAGGTTGTGAACAACGCGTTGTCTAGTGGAACGAAACGAAAGGATGGTGTAGGACAGCATTTGGTGCATAAAAGGGGACCGACTAATGGAACTGAGGCTGCTGCACAATCTCAGGCGCTATTTCAACAGCAGTTATTTGGTGCTCCATTCCCTCAAATTCAACCAATTTTTGTTCCCTCTGGCCTACCTTCCTTTCCAACACCGTCTTTAACTGCACCACTTGCTCCGTTTCCAACCGGGCACCCATTTATCGCGAACCAGCGCTTCAAATTTAACCCTAATGTTCAGGACAAAGGTGCTGATGCTTCCGCCCAGGTATCGCAGAATGGCCCGACATCTGGTGCTGGTTGCTACGGTGTTCCTCAAAACAATTCAGGCAAAGAATATTACGTGATGGTTCATGTTGACGCTGGAGAAGTGTTCTCAATTCGTATCGGCGACCATGTGCAGCATATTCCTGGTAGGTATCCTTGAATGTTTTACATAAATTTACTCAAAATCTTACTTGAGAAACAGTTTTACATACTTTAAAATACATGAAAGTAAAGCATCATTAAATTCAACCAGATTTCTGTCATCTCGTAAGCTGAAGTATAATTACTATCGTTAGTGTTTAGTAGATGACTGTCGATCTTGACTGCTCTCTGAGGTCTTTTCCTGCATTGTTATGCTCTACTTACTTTCAGTAAATCTGTTTCCGGTCTTTATATTACAGGTGTTGTCTATTTAAGTATATGTTGTTTCCTGTTCAGTAAAAGCTTCACGTACTGAAGTCTTTACTTAAAAAATGCGTTTTTTTCTTAAATAATTGCAGATTTAGCTGTTTTTTGCTAACTTTATCTCATTCGTACACTTTAAAATGTTAACTTAAGATAACATATAATAAAATGGAGCTTCAACACCTGTTATGTGATTGATACGATCAATTACTGTACAGTTCGCAGTGTGTGAGTGCATGTTGTTTTCAGATAGATCGGAAAGCTTAGCAGGTCTTTTTCTCAACAGTTATCAGTTATACCCTTTTTTGCACTCTTCCCAACAAAATTTATATATGCGCTTACATTTAAAACATGTTTACCAGTCCCCATGAATCTTGCGCAGGGACTTTACCAGACATGTTCAGCGGTGGCCTCTGTGAGCTTTCTCGAGGATTTCTGATCGTCTGATCTAGTGCTTAAATGCTGAACGTTATATGGGGAAATTACTTGCCTCCAGTTGCCAGGCCTGTCTGTTGGAAAACGCATGTGTGTTAAGATCCAAATTTATTTTCGATCTTTTAAAATATTTAGTCAGCAATATCCTAGTGCCCGGTTCCCTCCTTGTGTAAGTGTAATCGCTAAACAACAACTTTCTTCATAACTCTAGCAAATAAAACAATTATATATCCTTGTTATGACCAATTTTCCAATTTGCTTCGCTGATAGAACGGCTGACAGTGCCGATCACGCTTAAACGGGCGGCATTTTAGGAGCAACTACAATTTTCATTATTTGGCCTCGGCTTCAACCGGGGTCTTATTTGACACCATATTTCGATCTTTGATCAGGCCCAAAGACCCTCTGCATTTACCTTTATTTTTCAAAGTTGCCAACTAGTAATCTCGTTTTACGCAATGAATTGTGCAACCTATCGCAGTTTATGCTCCAAAAAACGCACCACCTTATGCTGCATCATATCCAATATTCTGAGGTTTCACTGAGGCCAATGTAGGCACACATTTTAAGGTACGCATAATGGTCGTACTTACACAGTCTTTGCCTTTCGTGTTTATCTAAACTGGAAGAGTTACAAATTAACTGCTGCGCACTCACTAGGTGCTTCTTCGCTTTCTTTTCTCATGGACATTTGCATGGCTGCCCACCGTCATAGTAATAGGGGCTCACATTTCTGCCCCTATGCTTATTCACCTTTTAGGTCCAGCGACGGTTCGACTGGTGTCCAACACTGGCCCTCCGTTACC